TCCCGCGGAGCAGGGAGCCCGATGCAGGGCTCGATCCCAGGACCCTGGGACCATGACCTGAGCCAAAGGCAGACGCTTAATGACTGAGCCACCCAGCATCCCCAGAAAATGGGACTTTCATTTACTGTGTATGCTCATATAATTTAGAAAAGTTTGTGATTCATTTCTTCCTCAACTCACCCCTACCTTAGGGTCTTATATTAATTGTATTTTCATAGAGCCAGTTGGTTCAAAGATCTTAATATCTAACCATGAAAATGGCCTAACGTATCATTTAGGCCAAGGTCTCTCTTTTTTTGTTGATGGAAAATAGCTTCAGATGCTACTGGGAGATCTCTTAGCAAATGAGCTACTGTTGAAAGTTTTCACGTAATTTGCAATATGAGCTTGAGTCCACCTTATCTAAATATTCAACATGGAGCCCTGTAAACACATGGTCATCCTGAGTTCCTAGGTGCTTTATAGGGAACATATCACAGATACAGTTCGTTCTTGCAAGAAGTTTACTGTGAAAAGCAATCTGTTTTATACTTTGGGATTCCACAATATGTCCTTCCTTTCCCTTCTGCACTGGTGCTAGGATCTAGGATCTATAATCTCAGATAGAGACTGCATTAGGTATTGAAGTAGATAACTGAGATGCCCTTTAAACCACTTTTCATTTCTGCCATTTTGGGAGTCTCTGATCTTGCTCACCAGGGACTTACACTCTATTATTTGATTTTAACTTCTTGGAAATGCAGACCCTTCCTATTTTTGTCTCCTGTGGACTTTGATGCCAAAGCTATGTGTCACCTCTTCATCAAAAGCACTTCGAAACCTCTGGTGAGGCCTCATTGTTCAAAAGGCCAGGAGAACAAGGTGGTGTATAAATAATCTTGATGCTAGGCATCACTTTTGTACTTATGTGTTCTGAGGGGGGGAGTGTTGGGGAAGCAAGTGGTGAGTTTAGTTTCTGTTTGTGGTGGGCAAAAACTCCAGGATATTGGCAGAAATTCTCATCACATCCTTAGTGATAATCAATATTTTCATCTACTTGGGTATCTCTTGGCAAAATTGAGAAAAGGATGGTAATTCAGGTTCAGTGACTGACACTATATTCTTTAGGGTGCTGCTACTCTTTTCCTGCGTACCTCCTCTTTGCCCCCTCACCCTCATTAATTCCTGTTAATCTAAAATAGATCCCTTTTCCTCCTTCTGATTCATTTGCTTTTTTGTTTTTTTGTTTTGTTTTCATAGATTTAAAATTTTATTTGCAAAGCACCAGTTCACTATATAGATGTTCTATACTGATAATGAATTATCAAATTAATTATTGCTTATTTTCCTTGCCCTGCTTATATCCCCACACTTGCTACCCCTCTCCTCTTTTCTCTCCTCTAACCCCATTCTCCTACTCTGAGCAATGTTAATAATCTAGTGTGTATCCTTTCATACCTTCTCCCTATTCTTTGAAATATATATATACATGGGGATTTTCTCCTCATTGTTTTACAAAATAAAAGAAGAGTTACATATTTCTCTGCATTTTCTTTTCTTAGAAAAATACATAGTGGGAATCTTTCCGAGCCAACTGATAGAGAGTTCACTCATCCTTTTAAGTATATAATATTCTGTGTTGCTTAGTAGTGTATGATACCACAATTTGGTCAATTATTTTCCTATTTATTTGCATGTATTTTGTTTCCAGTTTTTTGTCCCTATAAAATGTGCTGTAATAAAAGACCCCTCCACTTGCTTTTAAATAAACATAAATTTTAGAACAGTTTTAGATTTACAGAATTATTGCAAAGAGAGTACAGTAAGTTCCTGTATGTCCTATACCCATTTCCCCTATTATCAACATCTTACATGATTATGGAACATTTGGTACAATTAATGAACCAGTAGTGGTACATTATTATTAACTAAAGTCTATACTTATTCAGAGTTCCTCACATTTTCCTTAATGTCTTTTTGCTGTTCTAGGATCCCATTTGGGATAACACATTACATTTAGTTGTTAGGTCTCCTTAAGTTCCTTTTGGCTGTGGGAGTTTTTCAGACTTTCCTTATTTCTTAAGACCTTGACAGCTTGAATAGTACTGTTCAGATATTTTGTAGAATGTCCCTCAGTTGTGATTCACCTGATATTTATTTCATGGTTAGATGGGGGTAATATGTTTTTTGGGGGAAGACCACAGATGTAAAATATTCTCCTTATATCATATCAAGGATACAGAGTTTCAGTATGTCTTATCACTTTTGATATTGACCTTGATCACCTGGCTTGAAGTAATATTTTTCTTTCTCAATAGTAAAGTTACTTTTTTTGCCTCTTTTTTTTGTACTCTTCTCTTTGGAAGAAACTAGTTATTCACAGCCCATAATTAAGGAGTGGGGAGTTATGCCCCACCTCATCAAGGGCAGAGTAGCTACATAAAATTGCTTATAATTCTTCTGCATAGAATATTTGTCTCTTTACTCCTATTTATTTAATCAGTATGGACTCACGGATATTTATATTATACGTTAGGTAATAATCCAATGCTACTTTATTTTCTAGCTCAAATTCTTCTACCTCTGTCCATTGGGAGTTATTTCAGTTGGCATATCTGTCCCTTTGACATAACCTCATTGTTGTGTGTGTGTGTGTGTCTGTATGTGTGTATGTGTGTATTTTGAGCATTTCTTTATATTTCAGCACTATAAGATGCTCCAGGCTTATCTTATATATTTCTTGCCCCAGTTCTAGTCCTGCCCCAGCCATTTTTCCAAGGAGCCCTCATTTCTTTTAATGGAGAATGGCATTAGAAACCAAGATTTCCATGCTAAGTATGCTCATTGCTACTGGGGTATGATTGCTTCTAGGCCTTCTCAGTTGACAGCCTATTTGCTTTTATTTTTTTATTTTTTTTAAAGATTTTATTTATTTATTTGACATAGAGACACACAGTGAGAGAGGGAACACAAGCAGGGGGAGTGGGAGAAGGAGAAGCAGGCTTCCCACAGAGCAGGGAGCCCGATGTGGGGCTCGATCCCAGGACCCTGGGATCATGACCTGAGCCGAAGGCAGACACTTAACGACTGAGCCACCCAGGTGTCCCGCCTATTTGCTTTTAAACAAAGCCTTGCAGTATTTCATGCACAAGTGGGATTTCCCACTGCCCCTGAAATCCTTTCCTGCAGGTGGCCCTCTCTTTCAAGTACACATCAGATTAAATTTGTATCTGTTGTAGATATCATCTAAGTCAGTGGTTCTTAACTCACATGTAGATCAGTAGAAGAGAAAAGGATGATATCACACTGAGCGGAGGCTTAGATTCATGCAGTAGATCTTTTATTCATGCAATAGATCTTAGGGAGTGACTGGGACTGACGGGGTGGGTGAAACTTGAATATCATACCTCATGTGTGCCTTGGTAAGAAAAAAAAAGTTTGGGAACCACTGTTCTAAAGGAAGCAACAGTTTTTTTGTCAACTCAGAGATAATGTCTTTCAGAATGATACAAGTCATGTAGCTGGCATTTGGCTATGTATGTTTTTCAGATATAGTACTAGCCACTGACTCCAAATATGTGCCAAGTAGGATAAAAATGACGAGACTAATCTTATTTGACAAAATCCCACATATCATTTTGCCAACAACTTGGAACAAGGGATGATTTAAGCTGTGGATGAAGGCAGTTATATTTATATAATCCTGGATTTAATTCATAGGTAATGAAAAGAATAATTAAGTATTATCAAACATCTGTAGAAACCTGAGCGTTTGGGTATCACAATGGCCAAGTGAAGTGAACAAGTTAATAGCTTCAAAAACCATTATGACCATTTATCTCTCCAACAAAGTAAGCAGAACAAGGAGCCCCCTTCTTAAATGGGAACATAGTCCAACTATTTTTGGTCTTTAGTAATCATTGAAATAAATGAGGTTCTCAAAATCCGAGTGTCCAATAAACTCTTTCTAAAGCATTCTTAGTACATTTATCCATCCCTGAGGCATGGCACTTGCCTTGTTATTCATCACATATTAGTGATTAGTACTCCAACAAAACAACATCATCAGAAAATTTGAGGCAGTAGAGGTATTTGAGACAAGAAAAGTAGCATGCTGCTAATTATTGAATCTGTACAATTGGTATGTGAGGGTTCAATATATTGCTATTTTTATTTTTGAGTATGTTTGAAATGTTCCACAGTGAAAAAGGAAATAAATAAATATAAGTGCACAGTAACTTTGCCTGATTTTAATGGCCCAGTTGGTTAAGCATCTCGTCTACCTTGGGCTCAGGTCATGATCCCAGGGTCCTGGGATCCAGCCCCACATCAGGCTCTCTGCTCAGTGGGGAGTCTGCTTCTCCCTCTCCCTCTGTGCTCTCTCCTTCTGTGTTCTCTCTCTAGCTTTCTCTCAAATAAATAAAATCTTTAAGAAAAAAAAGTCTACTCAACTCCACTTCCCCTGCCAGCCACTGCCCATTTCCTTGCTTCCATTTGCAGCAAAACTATTTAAAAACAAAACAAAAACAAAACTGCTCTCTTTAGAGTATTGATTCTCTATTAAACCCATCCCAATTAGAATTTTACTTTCACTACTGCACCAAAATTGCTCATATCAAATTCTCCAATGCCTCAACGATGCTAAATCCAATGATCAGGTCAATTGTCACTCTTTCTTTTACTTAATCAGTACACTTGGCACAGTTGATCAACCCCTTCTTTTTGATATATGTTCTTTACCTGACTTGCAGAGAATTACACTACCTTAGTTTTCCTTCTATGCTATCAGTTACCCTTTCTTAAGTTCCTTAGCTGGTTCCTCATAGTCCCCCTTAATGTTAGGGGGGCCTGGGGCTTGGTCCTTAGGTTTTTTTCATCTCTGTCCATACCTACTCCCTCCATGATTTGTTTATACAATCTTACAGTTTTCTATACTATCTGTACACTGATAACTCCAACACGTATACCTTCCAGCCCAGATCTCTCTCCTAAAATACAGACTCTTTTATCCAATAGACTTTTCAGGATCTCTGCTTGGTGTCAAAAGGAATATGTCCCAAACTGAACTTCTGATCTTCCTCCTGTCTTTTCACAGGTTCCTAGAAAACAAAACATGAGGCAAAATCTAATGTGTATTAGGGAGTATAATCCCAAGGACACAATATATTTATGTATTTCCCTTTTATATATAATATATTTATAATCCCAAGGACTCTCTCTCTCTCTATATATATATATATGTATATATATATACATATATATACATATATATATATTTCCCTTTCCCTATAGGAAAAGGGAAGTGAGGCAGGGGAAGAGGGAGGTTATTTCAAGATAGTTGACATAGGAGGAGAAATAGAGAATTTATCTCTCAGCTCCCATGTCCCATTGGTCAAGAGGTTATCCCACAGTATCTTTTTTTTTTTTTAGATTTTATTTATTTATTTGAGAGAGAGAGAACACAAGCAGGAGGAGGAGCAGAGGCAGAAGGAGAAGTAGACTCCCCGCTGAGCAGGGAGCCTGATATGGGACTCAATCCTAGGACCCTGGGATCGTGACCTGAGCCAAAGGCAGATGTTTAACCGACTGAGCCACCCAGGTGCCCCAGTATCCCACAGGGTCTTAACTCCCTCAAACTTTGGGGATTGCACAGACTGTGCCTTCCATGTCACTGCTATCACTCTGGTCCAAGCCACCATCTCTTACCTCTGTTTTTGCAATGACTTCTAATTGGTTTCTTTGCTTTTCTACAAGTCTCCCTTCAATCTGTTCTTAATACCCGTAGTCATATAATGTTTCTGTTGTACTCAGGACCTTCTGATGGCATCCCATTTCATTTGGAATTAAAGCCAAGACCTTACTAGGGCTTACAAGACCCTCTGACCTTGCTGTTTCTCAAACAGATATACTTTCAGACAGGTATACTCCAGCTTTAGGGTTTTTGCACCAACTGTTAACTCTGTCTAGAATGCTTTATTCTCCTATAGCTACATGATTAACTCCCTCATTTCCTTCAATTACACAGTTTCCTCTATTTTAAACTTATCGATGCATCTTCCTTGACTATTTTATTTATATATAATCTTAAGATTCTCTTCCACTCAGTCCCCATCACCTGTACTCCTGATACTTCTTACCTCGCTTTTTTCCCTAGCAATTATAAACTTTTATGATATATATAATTTACCTATCATATTTATTATTTTCTATCTCCTTATGCTAGGATTTAAGCTCCTTAAGGACAGAGATCTTTGTCTATTCTGCTCACTAATAAAGCTCAAGGGCCTAGAAAGTATGTGGCACATAGTAAATGCTCTGCAAGTGATTATTGAATGAGTGAATGAGCTATGTCTCAGTTAAAGTTGGGCAGCCACCTGACATTCAAATTATTGTTACCATATAGGAATATAGGCCAAATGTTGCCAGATCTTCTGATTTTAAGAAAAACCTGAAATCTGAATATTTATATGAAATTTCCCCAATTTTTTAATTTTCTGGGCTCCTCTTCCAAGAGTCCCTACTCATCAGATTCAACCAGTAGATTCACAGTTTACAAACTCTGTACTACTAGGTTTTGACTCCAATATTAACCAAGGGAGTAATGCTGTATTTTAGTTGTGTGACCTGTGCCTTGATTTCCTCACCTGGAAAATGAAAATTTGTTTATTCAACTCAAGATATTTTGAACACTTGCAGTAGATGTTTGGCATATAGCATTGAACAAGACAGATTAAAGTTCCTACTCTCCTGGAACTTACCTTCTAGAGTGGGGGAAACATATATTCACAAGACTATGTTGGGTAGTACTGATGGTGAGAATAAAAAAAGGTCATGTTACAAGAGTGACTGGAAGGTTGTTTTTGGTTGAGTGGTCAAGAAGGGCCTCCCAAAGAAAGGGACTTATAAGCTGAGACCTGCCTTGTGAAGATCTATGGGAACAGTGTGCCAGTCAGAGTGAACAGCAAGTACAAAGGTCATAAAACAGGAACAGGCTTCTTATATTCAAGGAAACTAAAAAAGGCCAGTCTGGGTGGAGTACAGTGAATTGAGGGAAAATAGTTTTGGATAAGGCTGGAGAGGCAGGCATAGGTCAGATCCTGCTGCATATTATGGGCCAGAATAAGAAGTTGATTTTTATTTAATCAGAGGCAAAAGGAGAGTGTTATAGTTTGTCCGTTTATTTTAAACTGGGGAATAACACGATCAGATTTCCATTTTTAAAAGATCACTCTGGCTGCCCCAGTGAGAATGGATTGTAGGAAGATAAGCAAAGAGACCAAGTTGGGAAGCAATACTTTTTTAAAAATTTTTTATTATGTTAATCACCATACATTACATCATTAGTTTTTGATGTAGTGTTCCATGATTCATTGTTTGTGCATAACACCCAGTGCTCCACGCAGAACGTGCCCTCTTTAATACCCATCACCAGGCTAACCCATCCCCCCATGCCCCTCCCTTCTAGAAACCTCAGTTTGTTTTTCAGAGTCCATCTCTCATGGTTCGTCTCCCCCTCCGACTTACTCCCCTTCATTCTTCCCCTCCTGCTATCTTCTTCTTTTTTTTTTTTTAACATATATTGCATTATTTGTTTCAGAAGTACAGATTTGTGATTCAACAGTCTTGCACAATTCATAGCGCTCACCATAGCACATACCCTCCCCAATGTCTATCACCCAGCCACCCCATCCCTCCCACCCCCCACCACTCCAGCAACCCTCAGTTTGTTTCCTGAGGTTAAAAATTCCTCATATCAGTGAGGTCATATGATACAAAGTCTTTCTCTAATTGACTTATTTCACTCAGCATAACATCCTCCAGTTCCATCCATGTCGTTGCAAATGGCAAGATCTCATTCCTTTTTATGGCTGCATAATATTCCATTGTGTATATATACCACTTCTTCTTTATCCATTCATCTGTCGATGGACATCTTGGCTCTTTCCACAGTTTGGCTATTGTGGACATTGCTGCTATAAACATCGGGCTGCACATACCCCTTCGGATCCCTACATTTGTATCTTTGGGGTAAATACCCAGTAGTGCAATTGCTGGATCGTATGGTAGCTCTATTTTCAACTGTTTGAGGAATCTCCATACTGTTTTCCAGAGTGGTTGCACCAGCTTGCATAGTTGGGAAGCAATTCTATCAGTTGAGGGGAGATATATGATGCTAAGCTTGGATTGGGGTGGTAGCTAAGGAGATGGGGGAAGTGAATGGAGCCAAGATATGTATTGAAGGATGATCTGACAGGACATACTGATGCATTGGTTGTGAAAATGAAATAGTTGAATAAAGGATGACCTCTATGTTTTTGACTTAAGCAACTGAGTAAATCATGGTGCTCTTAACTGAGAGAGAGAACACTTAAAGAGGAACAAGGGTAATAGTGTCTACCTCAGGAAATGCCGATGAGCACTTAGCACCAAAGCTGACATAAAGTAAGTGCTCAACACATTATCTCTTATTTCTATTTTTACTACCAATACAACTATTACTACTAGCTCTGATTTTTAGCCCTTATTATATGGCAAACACTGTGATAGTCCTCAGTAGCTCTGTAAGGTAGGTCATATTATTGAAGATGTTAAAACTGGTACTCACAGAGGTTAAAGAACTTGCCCAGTGATACATGGCTACTAAATCGTGGAGTTGAGACTTGGACCCAAGTCTATGTAGCTCACGCACATAATCATTTTTTTTTTTACTGTATTTTCTTTTATTACCTATCTTTACTGTTCTTCATAGGTATTTGTATATTACAACAAATGAGATATGCTTAATTCTTGCCTGTATAAAGTTCTGTGATTCTGCTTTCAGTTTCTGCAGTGTAAAATATCATCTGGTGATGAAAATGAGATTCTATTGATTAAAGATGGACAAGAGAGGACAGTGAAATAGAGATTCTTAGTTCATGATAAGTGAGGATCAAGTTAAAGATTTCCAGAGATAGGGTGCCTGGGTGGCTCAGTTGGTTAAGTGACTGCCTTCGGCTCAGGTCATGATCCTGGAGTCCTGGGATTGAGTCCCACATTGGGCTCCCTGCTCAGCAGGGAGTCTGCTTCTCCCTCTGACCCTCTTCCCTCTCGTGCTCTCTGTCTCTCATTCTCTCTCTCTCAAATAAAATCTTTAAAAAAATAAAAAATAAAGATTTCCAGAGATAAAACCAGATTACTTGTCTTACAGAGTTTGAAACCCTTTGTGATCATTTATCAGTTTCCAAACATTATGCAGACATGCTTAAAAGTTGTTATTTCCCAAAAAATAAAAGATGGAGGAACCTTGCTGGATGCAAATTCTTAGCTGACTTTCTTTCATCTGTTTACTCTGATTCCCAAATTTCCAAGATAGAAGATTCATGATGAATCAGTTAGAGAAGCATATACATCAGTATATGACAAAGTGCTAGAATGAATATAATGAGGTATTATGAATGCAGGGTTATGTTTTTCAAGAACATATTGCATGAAACCACTTCTTTCCATTTATCTTGAAGGTAAAATATTTCATACTGGTAGAAAAGTGAGAGAATATTCCTTCCTAACTACAGTTTTAGTTTGCTTTTTAATAAAAGGGATACTTTTTAGCTGATATCATTTCAGGTCTTAGGTATCTATTAGTCACTAAACAGATATTTATTGAGGATCTACTCTGTGAAAGGTACTGAAAAGGGCAGAAGTGAATGACAGGCCTCCTGCCTTCTAACAGATTAAAACAGGAATTAGACATGTATACAAATTACAATCAAACAAGTAAAACTCAAATAAAAGACAGGATTCCATGTGGTTCAGCATATAATTGTATCCTAAGAAACAGTATAGCAACTAAACAATTTAAAAAGTTTGAATATTTAAGGATTTACTATAGTCCTTTGAAAAACATCAAGGGGAAGCCAATTTGTAATGCCCAGCAACATTTAAGGTCAGCTTTTCATATTACTTTCATGTTCAATATCTCTTACACACTACAGCATCCCAGAAAACTCTAATCACTCCTCATTCTCAACTAAAAATTTCACTCTGGAATATATCCCCTGTAAGTTTTTCCCCTTTTTTCCATTTTCATCCTCTATCACTTGTTTTCTTCTTTGTAAGAAGCTCTTGCTTCCCTTTCCAATGTTATTTAATTGAACTAGCATTGTTCCTGGCAATTTTTCAGCTCTTTCTGCCTATTACAACTGTTCTGCACAGTAAAAGCTCAGGAACTGATTTGGCATACTAAGAATCTCCACAGAAGTTGCTGGATTTGGAGAGACCCGTACATCCAAAAAGATGATTATCCTTAGAGGGCAGGGAGAAGGGGAAAGCTGCCAACAGTAACTTGATGTCTTTTATTCCATCACACATGAGAGAAAGTGAAGTGCTGTAAGAAAGATAGAGATAAAATAGTAGCAGAGAGTAAGGACTTATAAAATCAGGGGTGTTTGAGATTTTTTTAAAGATTTTTATTTATTTATTAGAGAGAGAGAGAGAGCGCACACAAGCAGGGGTAGTGGCAGGCAGAGGGAGAGGGAGAAACAGGTTCTCCACGGAGTGGGGAGCCCGACGTGGGGCTTGACCCCAGGCCCCTGGGATCATGACCTGAGCCCAAGGCAGATGCTTAATGGACTGAGCCACCTAGGCGCCCCTGAGATAGTTCTTGAGGATCTGAACAGGTGGTGATAGTGGAGGCCTTCCCAGGCAGATGGAATGGTGTTCAAGGGCAAGGAGGCAGTAAAACATGGGCTATGCACAGGGAAAAACAGGGAGGTCCATTTGGTTGGAATCTGAGCTTATCAAGCCTTTTTACTGAATGTGAAACTAACAATAACTAGATATATTTCTGGAGCATGAGACTTTAAGAGACTAAAACACTGACCAATTCTTAGAAAACCAGTTAAAAAACACAACTAACAAGTACCTTAACTTGTAGTCACATAACAGTGTAGGTTTTTAGCAGATGCTGTTTCCATGGAGAAAGTGTATGTTTAAAGGGGGTAAATTCCCTTCTCTGACTCCCCTTATTAACAAAAAGAGATGCTGCTGACCTCAGCATTGTCACTCAGCACGTGCACTCCAACTTGTTTTCTCAGGGATGGGGATGAATTCACATGGAGCCATCCCCTTTCTTTCACCACTGTGAAGAGTGATCCACTTTGGCAAGAGAGCTGCTTAAAGTTTAGTGGGTACAGTCTGGATCTATGGCTATGAAACAGAAAAGCTAAATAGGAGGGTGAGGTGGAATTCCATATCACCTTGACCTCATTAACACAAGACCCAGGTTAACACTAATCTATATCTTCTTATTTTGAGACCAGAACATACTCTTCACCACTAAGGCAATATACATTTATCTAGGTGGAGAGAGGTCATATACGTTTTGTTATTTTTCAGCCCCATTATTCTGCCCTTTACCAGGCCTTCCTTCAACTCCCCATAAAGGAGTGGTTTGGCCATGATTCATATTTACATTCATTTCTTTTACTCTCAGGTGAAATCCCTCTCTGTACCGCTCCCTCCCTCTCGCCCCCCCCCCTCTTTTTTAACTGGGTCTAAAGCTTACCCATAGACTACCCCCTCCCACACTTTACACACGCATAGAGCAGAGCAGGATTTCCATACATGTTGGTTGCTGACTCACTGGCTGGAACCCTCTGATCACTAGGCTCTGGAGGTTTTTAATTTGGTCACAAAAACTCTTTTTTCCCCTGATATGTTAAGTTTTGCCAATAGAAACAGAAATAGATAAGCAGGAAGGCAGTTATTATGACAATGCAAAGAATGATGCTGGAAACACCACCATTTAGAGCAGGGTGCAAAGTCACAGAAAATTCTGATTTTTAAGGCATTTAGGGAAGTTTCCTATTAGGTAATATCTTTGTACAAATGCTCCAGCAAACTCTTGACTTTGATCCTGCTTGATATAAAGCAAAGATGAAAAAGCATTGTTGTTTCTAAATAAAATATGGCTTGAGTTATTTTTACTTTCCATTATTTTAGAGAAAGGTGAAGCCAAGTTTGACTTCCCAGAGTGTGGACAGGTCATTAGAAAGAGTAGAAAGAGGGAGGTCAGAGGTACCTTCCCTGGTCATTCCCTTTCACTACTTTGCCTGCTATTACCTCAAATGCAAGCCCAGAGAGCATCATTATCATTTTTACAGAGGTAAAAAATCACAGTTTTTGACCAAGACATTGGCCCCTGTGAAATTTTCATTCCCTTCCCTTGCCCATTAGAGCTGGGTCTTTCTTCCAGCACCATCATTTTTAAAGCTGTCTTACTCTATAGCTGCCCATCTCACTAAGCATGCTAGCCCGAAGGCTCAAAGGCCAAGTCAGATTACGTCTGTTGGGTTTGTCGAGGATATTTAGTGATAAAAATGGAATTTATTTTAATTTATTAAATTCTTTCCTCTGGACATAGAGAGAAAAAACTAAAATGGCTATTAACACGAAATCATGAAAATGTCAGTATTTTTCCTAAATCCTGCCAAACAGAAACCCTAAATCCAAACAAACTGACTGAATCTTTTCTTGAAAAAAATAAATTATGAAAACAAGTTGTAACACCAGAGATTTGTGTCTGGTACTCCTCTTAGAACTACTCGCCTTCCTTTCCAGGGGCCCTGCTAGGCTCCCCCATTGCCCTCCCCTTTGGTTTTCTTTCATTTGGGTCCTATCCTAATTGGATCCTCTGTGCAGCTTAATGATACTTTCCTCCCCCCCCCCCCTCCTCACCTCCCCCTGAATTCCTAAATATGCCACTGCCCAGTAGCCCCCACCCCCACCCAGACCTTCTGTTCTCATTGTTGGGTGCCTTGTCTAAGGGACACATGGGGGAACCCTCTTCATTTTCCACCTTTCTGTCACATAGATCAGTGTCTGCTCTCCTCTTCTCCTGTCCCAAAGGAAGAGGTGGCCTTTCCAAACCCATTCAAGTCAGCAAATTCACATCCTTTTATTTTTTTGTCTATCTGTGAACATTTATTTTATTTTTGCAACACAGAAATCTATAAAATAGAAGCCTCTATCCTACTGCCCCACACTACTCCATTTTTTTGAAAAGAAAAAGTTTTTCCAGACTTTCCTATGCTTTTCCAAACACCAATCTATAACATAAGGCACACATAAATCTATAATATACATATACGTATGTACACTTAGAGAATTTGGGGGTTTTGTTTTATACAAACATATTTTTTTTCATTGAACAGTACAATGGACATGCCTCCAAAACAGTATACAGGGTCTATTCCATTTTTTCACATATTTCCTGTGCTTTCAAGCTTACTTCAGCTGTCTCCTCCATGGTTCAAGTTCTCCCATATTCAAAGAACCTTGTTATCTCTCAGCCATCTATCCTACCCCACTCCTACTCTTCACAGCCAGGAGTCCTTGAAAAGCCTCCCTCACTGACTGCACTTCTTTGCTTCCCACTTAGCCCCTGGTCCTTGCAGTTTGGTTTCTGCCCCTCCCCTACCCATATCTGCTCAAAAATCACTTTTTCTCCTCCTTAGGGCCTCCCCTACAGCCCTGGGCACCGCTGAGCATGCTCTCCTTATAATTCTCTTCCCCCTGTTCTGACTACTCCTAAGGACCTTACTGCTTCCGTGGTTCCCAACCAGGGGTGATTTTGCCCTCCAGTGGACACGTTATAGTATCTGGAGACATTTTCAGTTGTCACAGTGGAAGAGTAGGTGCTACTGCCATCTAGTGTGTAGAGGCTAGGGATTCTGCCAGACATCCTAAATGCACAGGATGGTCCCCTGAAACACTTAAGTATCCAGCCCCAAGTATCTACCAAGAGTACTGAAGTTGTAAAACCCTGCCCTAAAGGAATTTAAGCAAGTCCAAGGATATTTCTGACAAGTATAGGCCCTTTAATAATCACCTAGGGATCTGGCCCCAAATCTTGAAAATAATTATCTGTATCTCTTCCCAAATGAAACACCTCAAAGTCACGTCCAGATGCTGCAGAGATGTCCCAAGCCCATGACAGCTTCAGTTTCTAGGTCCACAGTCCCCAGGTAATGTCCAAGTCTCCTCCAGTCGTCTCAGTCTGGTCCAGGTGTGAAACCTCACCATCTTTCCATCTGTGGGCTAAACCATACATTTAACCTCCCTCAACACCATTCACAGTCATGAGAAAGGAGACACAGACCATCCTCTCCCCTCCCCCTTTCCCAATTTATCCCCTCCCCCTAGAAATTGATTTCCCTTTGGGATATGTTCTATTCCACATTTCTGAATTCACTGAGGGATTTGTAGCCAGATTCCCCTCCCAGTATTATTCTGGTGGTGGTTTGGGAGAGAGAATCCCTCAGGATGGCACCACACTGGTCCGTGGTCTAAACCAGTAAACGCTCTGGGCACTATCAGTTGCTGACTCGACCTCTTAGGCAGTGGCAGGAGTTTCCAGTTCTGCCACTGGGGATTGGGGAGGGTTCTTCTGTTGTGGAGCTAGACAGCCATAGCAGTCCTTGTCTGCAACTGGTGCTGGTGTCCCCTGTTTGTAGACCTAAAGGATTTTCTTAGGGATGGCAAATCTCTGCTGTGTTGTAAGCCCAAGGTTAACTATAGGCCTGTTTAGATCATTTCTCACAATATAACTTGATCAGAACATGAAAAAGCTTCCCGTCCAGTTAATTCCTGGAGACTCTTGGGATGCAGGAATCCTCACTATACCCATAACTCTCTGATACTCCTCCCCAGCCAGTTCCGACATTTTCTTTGACAGTCTATGGTTTGCAACTGCTCTTCTGGTGCCAATTTCTGACTTGGAAATAATCTGGTTGCCCAGAACAGGAACCCACTCAAGTTAGCTTAAAGAAAAGGGGATCTGTGTAGAATGTATTTTCATGCAGCACAATCGCAGGAAGTGGAAAAGTGGTCATACCACCACTCTCTCCATCTCTGGGGTTGCAGGATCAACTCCTGTGCTGTTTCTCTGTGCTTGTCTGCTCCCTGGGACCTCATTCCGACATCCTCTAAAAGACACCTGGCTTCTATAAAGCACACAGTTCTGCTCACTGACAGCCAGGCCCAGGCCTGACTGTGGCCTCGGTATTCATGACTCTGACCAGGGCCCCAACTCCAAATGACCCATTGTTTCCTTACCCAACACCACCCTGACTATGGAATTTGCTTCTCTGTTCAGACTCTCTAGCGTGAGAAAACTGTTTGGCTCAGTTATGGGTCAGATGTCCACTCCTGCTCCAACCATATACAGCCTAGGTGGGGAGAGGGGTGGGTTGCCATATATATGGCTGCTCGGGTCCACCAGATACTAGGGTTGGGGAGGGAGACACATACTAAGAAGTTGTGGTGCTTCTGGGGTGTGGAATGCTAATGCTCTGGAACACAAAAGGGGTCATCAAAATAAGTCTCTGTCTCTCTATATTTTACCCTCCAACTACCCAATCTACACCCTCCCGAGCCACCACCCCATACCCCACCTCCCAGCCTACTTTTCCACCTTTCTTGCAACCCCCTTGCCCTATTTGCCCACCCTCCCTTTCCCCCCACTCTTCCCCAACCCTTCCCTACCTCCCCCCCTCCCTCTGCCCACCAGAGGTGTAATTTTTCTGCTCCTCAGCTCCAGGAAGGTGGACAGGGCCTCTACCCAGCTTCTTGGTGGCCTCTGCCCCTTCTGCATCCTTTTGTCTTCTTCTTCTTCCTGTGGTACCAGCAGCAGAAGTAGCAGCAGCCCCTGCCTCCTCCTCCTCTTCATGTGCTCCTTCTGTTCCAGCCCCACTGCCAGTGGCCAGGCCTGGCTCTTCTGGGATCTGGGTCCGCTTCCGCGGAGACTCCAGTTCCTGGAGAGAAGTGGGCAGGATTAAGACCTATTCTGGGGGCAGTGAGGGTGTGGGGCAGGGAAATGGGGCCAGGAGATGGGGCAGGGACCAATCAAGGTAATCTTACAGCCCGGAAGAGCCTCCACCTCAGGAGGTCGCTTTCCTTTCGCATCTCTGCCATGTTTGCTTGTGTCTGTCGCAGCTGAAAGACTGACTCCTTGCGCTCAATCTCCCGCTGTGCTGTGAGCTCCTTTAGGTGTGAGGCCAAGGCCTCTGCAGCGGACTTATGCAGTTTGGTGAAGTCCTGCAGCCAATGCACCCTGTGCCCATGTAACTGGCTCTGCCTGTGGGCAAAGCGCATGCCCAGGGCCAGGCTGCTCCAGGCACAGGCGTCTTTGGCCTGGGTGGGCACTGCGCTGTCCTCCAGGATGTCCCGGAGCTTGTTCTCCACCTCCTCCCAGGACAGGGATATATTCTCAAGATAGAACTCAGGGCCCTTCGTGTGCCCGGCCATCTTCTCATTGATGAAGGCCACCACATTGTTGTGCTGGAACCCAGCACTGCGGTCCTCCGGATTCAAGGCCATAATGGCTGAGGGCCTTAGGGGCTTGGCTGGTTCTGTGGGATGAATCAACCAGTTTCTCTTTCCTCTCCCCTTTAGCCCCTCCCCACTCAGTCTCTTCCCATGCAATCGGCCTGCCCTGCCCTGCCCCACCCCTCCTCACCCTCCTCATACCCTCATAAAGACCCCCTCACCGAGTGGCTTGCCCCGCCATAGTACACGTCGGCCTCGCTTCTCTAGGTGGCGTTAGAGAAGAAGCAGACTTACCTTTCTCGCCTACCGTACCAAAAGAGAAAGCGCACCTCTCTCCTTTTAGGGGCTCCGAGGAAAGGAAATCGCAAGGCCAACCCTCAAGGCTTTTATCCTGGGACTGTTCCAACTTCCAGAGACAGTGGGGGTGGGAGGGAATGTGTAAGGAAGGTTCCTCCTAGACTCCGGGACATAAGAGAACCCGCTACATTGTTGAAAGTTGTTGAAGGCAGGAAAACAACAGGAGTGGTCAGAAGACAGAACTTAGAATATATCAAGAACAAAAAGTTTCATCCCCCACTCTCCACCCCCACCATAATGGTTTGTTCCACATCATGGGCCCCAACCCTCCCGGAGGTGGAATGTTCTAGAACAGGAAAAAGCCCTCCCCCCGGCCCCCTCCTGTTGTTCTCCATCCCTCAACACCTCTCACCTCTGCCCACTCCTGTTGTTTTCCTGCCTTC